TGCGTGAAATTGGCCGTAAGGTCGCCGAAATTCAGAACGCGGGCCTCGGAGAACATCGTCTCAGGGACTTGAACGACGAGATCAACAAGCTCATTCGAGAGAAGTCACACTGGGAACGACGTATTGTGGAGCTGGGGGGACCCAATTACACGAGGCATTCTGCAAAGATGACTGATTTGGATGGTAACATTGTGGATGTGCCCAACCCAAGCGGGAGGGGGCCCGGGTATAGGTACTTTGGCGCGGCGAAGCAGTTGCCCGGTGTCAAGGAATTGTTCGAGAAGCCTCCGGAGTTGAGGAAGAGGCGAACAAGGTACTTTTTTCTCCATCTATGACAAGGGTTTCAATTAATGTGGAAAGAAAAGCGTTTTTTGGTTTTTTATTTGTTGAAGCAGTGGCTAAAATTTGAAGTTTCTGGTATTTTTATTAATTCTGTTGTTCTAATTATGCACACAAATTATTGTTTTGAGTTTGTTATATGATCTTTATTTAATTAGGGACATGTTCAATCTCTTTGTTGGTTGAGATAATAGCCTCTTGTTCACTAGCCATCTAGGATACTCCCGATCGTGTTCTCTTAATAAGCATGAGTAGAAGTCGAAAAACCACGAAACTTTTTAAAAGAGAAATATGAAAGAGGGGCCAATGAATGTTGGTGTTCTTGACTATGTTTGCATCTTGTCCTAATGTGGTTATATGGGATCCTTTTGCAGGTATGACATATACAAACGGATCGATGCAAGTTACTATGGGTATAGAGATGATGAGGATGGGATTTTAGAGAAACTAGAAGCTCCGGCTGAGAAGAAGATGAGGGCTGCAGCTCTGGCGGACTGGATGGAGATGGAGAAGATAAAGAAGGAAGCAAGGATGGCCGTGAAGAGTGGTGAGGTGGCAGCGGTGGGTGCAGTGTCTAAGATCTTATTTGAGGAGGAAGAGGATGTAGTGGAGGAAGAGAGGAGGATAGAGAGGGAGAGAGAGGAGAATGAGAAGGGGAAGGAATTTGTTGCGCATGTCCCGTTGCCAGATGAGGAGGAGATAAAGAAGAAGGTACTGGAGAAGAAGAAGCAGGAAATGCTGAACAAGTACACAAGCAGTGAGTTGCTGGAGGAGCTTATGCAAGCAAAGACCTTGCTTAATATCCAGCAGTAGGTGGTACGTTTGCCTTCAGTGTTCTATTTTGTGTTTAATGACCACTTTGTTATGGTTAGAATCCAGAGAAAAGCATGTTTGATGGAGCTTTTTATGTGGTTGTATGTTAACTGGTATCAAAACATGGAGTTAAACCATTTTCTTAGTTTCTTTCAATTTTATTGTGAAGTAGTTCATTGAAATGTGAGGATTCTTTTGAGTTTCTTATGTATTTACTTATTATATTGCTCTGCTTTTTCTTATTCTTTTTCTTTGTGGGTTATGTACAAAACTGTTTGTATGTCCCCTGACATTTTTTTATTGAAATTATATCCAACACAAAAAATCAGTGTATCAGAAATTATGGTTGAAAATATGCATGTAATGAAATAATTTACCTCTGTATGCTTTAGAGACAGATCTAGAAACAGAGGGACGTATGGAGGAAGGTGGTAACTTTGTTTGGTTGTTTCACAATCTAACACCACATGATTGAATAGCTTCTTTGCAATCTTGATTTACACCGTTGAGTAATTACAATTTTGTTGGATAATATGATTAATCACAGTAATGAGATCCTTCAACAGGTTAAAAGTGTTTTTTTTTTTT